TATGGCAAAGGGTAATCATACATTGAATTAACAGCAAAATCTGTTTAATAATGACTTGTCTTTTATTTACTACAACAAAATAAATTCCAGTGAGAACGCTAAAAAATTGACAGCGTCAGGTAAAAAAGGTGGGGGGTGGGGAGTGGAGTTGTATTCTACACTGCTAAAAACATTAAAATGAAAACATGTCTTTTTTGCATTTAGCTATCTCCTTGTTCTTTCACAATTTTAAGGCACAAATAAAACATTATCTTAACAACATAGACCTTGCTCTATATTTAGAAAATAATCAGTTATCAATATTTTATTCACAAGCTATTAAGATTGCTTAATGTAAGTATAAAACAAGCTAAACTGCAAAGAGAAAACAAGCAAATTTAATGCACTTATTTCTAAAGATGAATATACAGACATGTTCAAAGTTATTTTTTAAACTGTGTTGTTTAAACAAATCACTGGAGTATAAAAATCTTCATTCATCTCAAAATACTTTCCATGTCTGTATGAATGGAAATGTCCTTGCTGAAGATAAAAAGTGATCTTAATGAAAATTTGGAAGGCAGCTATGCTCACCACTATACCACCAACACTGGATTTAATGAAAACTTGAATAAGCATAGTTTGTGATCAGTCAGATACATAAACGTATTTTTTTAAAGTTGATTCTGTCGAAACCTCATAACTCCTCATTGTAATTAAGAGCTCGCTACCCAGTGTGATTTAATAAATCATTAATTAGGAAGTTTTAAGGATGCACAGTGACACTAGAAAAATCTTCTCTTTGGGGACTATGCATCTCATGATCTGGATGGATTTTAAAGTTTTTAATCCATTAAAATCACTCACTTGTACAAAGAGAAAATATACATATATTTGTATATGTGTAAGCAAAATTATTCTCAGAAAAAGTGTCACTACACACTCTGATTTTGTTAAGAGAAAAAACTTTTTGAATGTTCAAGGTTTTAAAAACCTTGTATTTTCTGCCTCAAGAATGGGCTGACTGAAAGCAAGACGCTCTGCAGCCTCTGGTTAATTAATCTGCCGGCTGAATGACAGCGCGCCTAGGGGCACAGCGCTGGCATCCCACACAGGGTCCCAATGTGCTTTAAGCCTTGGATAGCTACATTCTGCACGCCAAGACTTTGCCCAACAAATAGCAGAGAGGCCTTCAGAGCCTTTCTTCTTCTGTCTGAGACATTCCATTTAATTAATGTAATCCCTCTTTATCTTAAAGTTTTAATAAATTTAGAAGGTGAGGCAAAATCAACACATCTATGCCACTGAATGCAGTAACTAGTTGCTCTAACACTTTTCTTATGTACTCAAAAGGCTTCTTTACAAGCCAATAAAGAAAATGAAAGCAAAAAAATGTTATAACACGTTCAGAAATTTTCAAACATGCTACTTGATCCATTCAAAAAATATATATTTGTATAACCCAATGTTTAAGAATTCAATTAAATGAATCTGGCAATTTCCATTTCACTGGGATTAAAGATTTTATGTTATAAAAATATAAATCATACACTCAGCCTGAAACACTTTGAAATTATTAATACCAAATCTTGAGCAAGGTAAGGCTATTTTTTTAGCAACAGGATACAAAGGACATTCTCCTAATTCCTTTTACTGCCAGAACAAAACATCTTTCAAATCAAGATAAAATCGCTACATCATGAATGTTAATATCATTCTGAGAAAAATAATACCTTATGACTAGAAAAGACCATCCCTTTAGGGAGAAATGTTGTGTTAAAGTGGATTATTCTTTTAGTAGTATAATAGAATGGCTTCTACCTAGTCCCAGATGGAAAATCAAAATCTGCATTTAAATGGAAATATTTTAAAACAGATAGGACAAAAGGCTAAAACCATAAGGAATACCTCCTTCCTTACATTTTAAAAATCCAAAATGCTTCATGAGAACTTTTCTGGAAGGTATGGCTTTAAGATTTTGTTTGTATGTTTGTTTCATTTTCCTGAAAAGCTCGCAGTATGACATAATTTCACAGTTTTGTGCTTAACACACACTATTTGTGCCTATTATATCAGATTCACAAATCGAATCAAGAAGTTAGGATGAAAAATTTTTATTATTACGAGAAACAGATTTATGGTGTCAGCTTGTGCAGAGTTTAGAACAAGTCCTCTATTTTCTTCCTAGTTTTTAACCATGCTGTTTTATATGTAATCCTTATAAGGCAATAGCAGTTTGTTGAAATCAAATAAAATCGGAGTTTCTTCAGCATTGACTCAAATCACCACTATGGTTAGAGTAAAAAGAAAGCAAAATGCTAGGCAATATTATAACAACTGCTCTTTGCGACCTGAAAGATTATTTTCAGTTCTTCAATAGTTGAGGCAATTTTCTTAAATCCTGAAGGAGCCTGACAGCACTGCACATTTCTTAATGCTTGCATTTACTTTTACATTATAAAACAATAAAACAGCAGGATAATGCTCATGCAGTTTAGAGACTTGTAACATTACTACAAATAATTCTACTGTATTATGGTAAAACATAAGCTTTTTAAATGTAAGCTGACTAAAGAAAGGGCAATCTATATTCATTGAAAGTACATAGACAAATAAGATTGGAAATATAACTTAAATTTTGTACCTAGATCTAAAATAATGTTTGAAAAGGTTTGAAAAAGCAAAATCCACACTGGATGAATTTTTTTTTTTGCCATAAAATACAATTAATTTTCAAGCACAGTGCTTACTGCTAAGGGAAAGGCTTCCCATCTTTCTTTCTTTGAGTTTCTAACAAAGTAAGTGGCTTCTGCCTCCTCAGAAACCAAGCACATTAGGTAATTTGATCATTTTTCTTCAACAATGTTGTAAACTAAGATACTTTATAATTACTAGCTTTAAAAATGCAGGTGTTTTGATGGTGGTCACATTTGACTACTGGACTGCAAATAATGGGCCAACCTGCAAAACTGGGCCATATCATCTCCTTTCTAAATCATCCCATCTTCTAATCACCCTGCTGTGGGTTCTGATATGTCTTTATTGCTAGAAGCTGCCCATTTTTGTACAGGAAACTGTGTGGATCTCTTCATATAAAAGACATCTTATTTAAAAGCATATGGGAACAACTCTGGCATATTTATCGGGTGATTTTCTCACTTTCAACAGGTAATTCATTTCAATCCAGTTGTCCATGATTGTCCTAGTGATAACCATAGGGATAGGAAAGAATAAAAGTATTTCTCTGCAGTAACCAAATTCTCATGTACCCTAGAGCCTCCATCCCAGCTCCCAATGCGCAACCCCCCCAAAAACTCCCAGCAGAAAAGTTTTCCAATATCAATGGGAGATGATATACCATAAAATCTAATCACCAAAAATAAACTTCGATACATGTCATCATTACTTTACATTAAGTAGCAAACTAAATTAGGGAAGCTGTATATGAGACCATCACAGAAGATCCAAGACTCACGGATCTTTTAAATCACTGTGATTTACAACTGCCTAAATTGGGGAACAACTGTAGAAACACGGTAAATTATGTTTTAAAAGAAAATGTACCCCCTCATCCTTGTAGATATCAGGCTTTTCTGGCTAATGTGTAAAAAAATTAACTTTTAAACTCAAATATTCCTTTTCTAAATAAATGATACTCTCAGCAGGAAACCAGCGTCTAAAACCTCACTACTCAAAGCATGGGCTCAGACCAGCAACATTGGCATCACCTGAGCATGTGTTAGAACAATCTCAGGCTCGACCCAGACCAACTGAATCAGAACCTGAAGTTTCAATAAGATGGCCAGACGACTCATCTGCATGAAGTCTGAGAAACTCTTGTCTAAAAGTTTTTCTAGTTCCACCATTTATTCTTCATTGAGAGATATAAAACAGTGAAGGACACAAAAGCTTGTACTCATAAAAACACATAAATATTACAGATGACCACAATTTCAATAATGAAAGAGAAACCAGGAAGAAAATGTAAGTAAAACTTAAGCAATTAAATTAGATCTAGATCCTGCAACCTTTGTTTTTAACACTTGAAAATTCACTTCTATATACGTACATGCATGCACAGATACACGTGAGAGATGAAAGACGAAGACAGAAAGGAATGATAGAAGGAGAGGAAAAAGAAAAGGGAGAGAATGGACCCATAAAAGTGTAAACAGTGTGTTTATGGAGCTGTGTTTGGAGCTGAAGGGGGAAGAAACAAAGTGAGAACCCAGCAGCTCGGCGAAGAGCAGCAATACCCCCTCGCACCTACTCCTTCTCACACCGAAGTGCCCATGCCAGTGTGGTGGAATGCTTTTCATATCAATAACAAGAAACCACCAAGAAATAAGCATTAAAAAGCAAAATATGTCACAGAATCCTGTATTCCCTAACTGTATTAAACAATACAAGTAAACATGGAAAGCATTAGTTCTGAGAAAGTAGAGACCAACAGCAAAAGGTAGCTACAATACTAAAAAGGTGATCTAATATTCTTTTTCTAAAGTTGAAATAATGATTTAGTAATAATCATCATAAAATAAACATTATTTGTTTTATTCTTACAAATGAACTTACTATTATTATAGTACTATTGTTATCATTGTTATTATTATACTAAATCTGCTGACAATAGCACTATAGATTTGCTTGTTTATAATGACACAATAAAAATAGCCAATATTAATAACACAAGTTCTTTAAAAAAAGAAAAAAAAAGGAAACCATAGATATTTATGGATATCTTAATGGGCTATTTAGTGGACATGAAGTAAGGGCTTCAACCTGCAGCAATAATTTGTAAAGTGAGAAATACATCTAAAAGATTATGTTTGACATGAAAAATATATACCTAAAATGATTAATGTACTATGATTAATCCAATATTCTATCATCATTTATTTAATGAGAAAAAATTAGAAATCATTTCCAAATACTGTGAAACTCATTGATGCCAATAGAAAATAAACCAGCTGATATCCAGGAGGAGAAGAGAGTGGCTAGTCAGAAAATAGGACCTGTCAGAAAAAAAGTGTCATAATTAGCATTATATCTATAACTGCTTAAAAAATAACATATATGTGTCTATATCTGTATATGAATTCAAATGCATGGCACATTACTAGTATACCGTATACTAAAATGCATCCCACTTTGCAGCTGGTTGCCTATTGAATATAGCCCTGTTAAATCACTGAAAACTGACTTTTCACAATAATGGTGGAAAAATATCACCCTATGCCTTGCATTACATGACTGAGCTGCCCTAACACACATCTCTTTGGTTTTGTTCCAAGAATAAAACACATTCAAAGATGGGCAGAATGCTACTCCCAGCTTGTATTCACCAAATGCCAGGAAATGTAAAAATAGAATTCCAAGTTAAGGTTTCAGATACACTAAACAAAGACTTAGAATTTCAAAATATAAATAATGCATGCATAAACAGGTATACTATTTATGGAAATCAACTAGGCAATATGCATCTATGGCCTTAGAAATAATCATATACTTTGATTCATTAATTCCACGTCTGGAAATCTATGCTAAGGAATTAACTTTTTAAAATGTAGACAATAATTGATGTACCCACATCAAAGTGCTATTATTTATAGTAAAAATTAGATTCAACTTAATTTACAAAATTAGGGAATCATTAAGGAAACTATTACACAGTCACATGATGGAATATTAAGTAGCCATTAAATTATGTTCATACAGAGATTTTAACGGCAGGGAAAAATGCTCCTGATGTCCTAAGTTAAAAAAAGCAGTCTACAAAGTTATATACAAATGATTATACATAGACATACATGTGTGTATATATCTATGTATGTGTGTTAAATATATGCATGTGGAAATATGTCAAAATGTTAACTCTGAATGACTGAATTGTAAGAACTTCATTTTTTAATACTTTTATGTATTTTCTTTAACTTAAAAAACACAATTGTTGTAAGTATCAAAGAAAATTAAGTAATAATTTAGATTAAAAACAAGGCATGAAGAACAAGGGTGAGAACCCTATAAGGTTACAATGAAGCTATTCCATTCAAGAAAGAAAGTGGGTTTGTCTGCATGAAGAGAAGAACCTGCTCGGAAGAAGCTCTTCCAACTACTGGAGAGGTAGAAGACAGATGAAAAAAACAGACAGTTTAAATGTGAAAACAACAAAAAGTAAAATAAAAGAATGCAGAAAAGTCAGATCTACTAGAATTTAGTAACTAGACACAGAAAGCAAAGGGGATATCATCAATGCCAATGTTATTTTTACTACGCAAAAGTATGAAATAGTTACAGCAAATAAGTTAAGAAAATAAATTATAACAACACAGTTTTAGGAGGCTTATTCCAATTCCTGGGTTGAATATAAGAAAAGAAACAACTTATTATCAAAACATAACAAAACAAAATTGATAGGTCCTCATTTTATTTTCTACAAAGTTGATAGCTATAAAGACAGCTTTTTTCTTTTCTTTTGCCAAACACAGTTAAAACACATCTTTAAACCGTCCAGATAACAAAAAGTATATATACTCAAATATGTGTATAATCTACAAGCTATGTTTTTTATAGAACAATACTTTAGCTACTATGTTAATTAGTAACAGTAAGTTGTAACTTACTATATTACCCCGTACTTTTTCTTGGTTGTAAATGCTTCATAATCATTTCTATTTCAGATTGCTTGACTGATCAATTGATTCCAAGTCAATAAATACATGGGGTAAATCCATTATATAATACAGGGAATTCAGTAAATGTAGCGATTTTACACACAGTAGGGAATCAGTAATTATGAATTAAACATAAAGCAGACAGCATCAACATAAGTTTGCCATCTTATAACTATGTAAAATCTCCACAAACTAGATTAGTTTTACCTATTATATAGCATTGTTTTGTCTAAAATACACACAGAAGTAACAACGAGAGAAGAAACTATATGCACAATAGCATGAAGGAGAAATCAGACGACTCAAAGCTGAAGATAAAATTTCTACATAAGTATAAATGCTCAAGAACTCCATCTGAAAACAAGGCCCTTTGATATTAACCCAGAATTAAAGTACATACTATTACCTAGTCTCCAACAGAATCTAGTCTATGATAGCCCTAAAGAATATCTGAAATAAATGTGAAGATGTCCATAAATAAGGGGTTGGGAGGAGGCTTCTGGCTTTTCAAAGCAACTAATTTAAAATAGGAAAGTAAATATTGTCTAATTAATGACCTCAGGATACAGTGAGTTGGAAGTCTGATATAATTTTAGTACTAAATCATACTTCACTTTGGCAAACACCTTATAGTAGTACCGTGGTGGAAGCACTGAAAAACTATGTTAATATGTAATTGCTCTCTATTGGCGAGGACCAAGACAGGAAAGAAACCTAAAGATTCTAAGACTAAATTGGTTAAGAATAAACTGAAAAATTATTTCAATGTCTTAATCAAAATTAAGCTAAATTAAGAATCATAAGTATAATTCCCAAACAGGCACAGATAGAGCAACACTGAGCCTTAAAGACCACAGGATTCTTAGGAAAAACGCAGTGACGATGGCCAGAAAAGGAGGAATGAATGCCAAGTCATGGAACAAAGAAGCACACTACAAATAACATGAAATATTTTTAAAAGAGCAAAGAATTCATCATAAATAATAATTTTGATGAATATATAGCAGTAACTTTCTTCCTTAAAACTCAAAGCACTAAGTCCTAGAGACGAGCATTGTCCCTTAATCATCTACATCTCCAGCAGCTAAGTCTGGAACAAACCAAGAGAAAAAAATAAATGTATGCTAACATTCTACAACTCATATGGTATGTGTAAATATTATGAATATGGTTATGCAGTGCCTGACTTCTTATCTTTGCACCTCTTGTATTTACCATTTTATTGAAGCTAAGGAAAAAAGCATACAAAATAAAATCATCTGAAGTTCCTCCTCCTATTGTTTTCTCATACAAACTTTTCAAATCCTTAGTGATGTGTTCATTTTCTGCCTACAAAGCTTTCCTAGTTAAGAACTTTTAGTAGGTGGACACCTGAAAGACCCTTTAGAAAAATGTGAACCTTGGAAAATATTCAATTAATTCTAGCCAGTATCAAGCTAAAGCATAGTCCAAAAAGACATATAGAAATGCACAAGCTGTGACATCATTTTCACCAATGCTAAAGCAACTGATACATGAAGCGCTAGGAGAAAAGACAATTAAAGACAAAATAAAGAGCAGCAGAATTTCTACCACAGTATATCTGAAAACACAGAAGGGCATGGTTAACTTATCTAAGAACCAGATCAACAGATAATAATGATCTTATTAAGTTGGTGCTCTACTGCTCCAATGCAAGAGAAATGTTATATCTAGTGATTAATAATAATAATATATTAAGTTAAATGTAAGTTAACATATATTGAGGTGTCTTTACATGGATTATCCCATTAAATACTCACAACAACCCTATGATATAGATACTATCACTAGCCCCACTTTACACATGTGAAAGCCATGATGCAGAGAAGTTAAGTAAACCAAGGTCATACAGTTAGCATGTGGTAGAGCCTAGAACCCACACTACTCTGACTCCAGAGTCCCCACTTATCCCTCATAGGCAAAAAAACAAACAAACAAAAACCAGCACTCCTTGTTACATGCAATATTGGTTTTCCTAAATATACACATGTAATTATGAATATATCATTGGTCATCATTAAAGTAAAAGATGAAAACATACAGTGTAACTGGGGTTCTCAACCTCTTTTTGGTCTCTAGACACTGACACATGCAATACATCATTTCTCATCACAATCCAGTGATACAGTTGAGCAGGAAGTACCACTCAGCTAATCCTGTCTGCCCCACAATGAGAATTCCACAGTACACACAGCCACATCTTTATTTGTAAACAACGCTACTTATGACTCTACCCAAATCTTGCTTGTGGCTCCAAAAGGTTTTTAAATAAAATGTACATTCAAAGATTTTGCCAGATTTCTCTCCCACAAGACTCATGTGAAAAAACAGGTATAGCATCATATACTTCAATGTTAACTCATAATAAAGAAAACTGAATTAATAAAAAATAATAAAATGCTATTTTTTCCTCAGGTTTAATCTGTTTCATTCAGTAGCATTAATGATCTCGTCTCATATTCTACCACCTTGAAGAAATTCAAAGAAGGATTTTTTTTTGGAGGACTGCTATAAAATTATCATTGACATTTTAATTAAAAAAAGAAATGTATGTAGAATAAACAGGACATTTCCTCTAACAGTCTGCAGTGGCTGCTCCATTGCTTCTTTGCACAGTCTTGGTAAATTATGCAGGCTCTCACTAGACAGAGCAGCTGTATTTCACTGTCTTCAGTAATGTAATCTACATTTATCATTATTTTAATTAAGCGGATTCTTAATTTTGTACTTTCATTGCAAAGAAAAAATACCTTATTCATATTTTTTTGGGTAGACAGCATCTTGTCAGTCTTATAAACCAGAATTTAACTCTAAACATGTTTCTTACTGCAACTGGTCGTTACTTTAAAAAGAACTACCATATTTGGTTTATTAAGAGCTTGTTCATTTTCATTCTATCAGCTTAAAACATTGGTTCCTTCTTTATAATGATAAAAAAGACAGTTTTGCAGTTCTCAATTTTAACCCAAGTAATATACTAAAAACAATGTCGTTTATTACAATATTAAGTTCAAGGTTATTCAAAATCAATATGATGCACAAATAAGAACTTTACGAGAAAAACTGCTTTACTGAAAGTTGAAAAAATTCAATTCAGAATTTCTTTGTGCAAGATTATTTTTATCATTGGGTCATTTGAAATGCCTGAATCTTTAGCTAAATTCATCATTGTGAAATACAGCAGCTTTTAATCATCTCAAAGACAAGTTCTGAATTTTTTTCATTCATTTCCCATTATTACATTTAGTTACAACAATTTGTTAGACTTTTAAAGAACAAATTGATAAATTACACTGGAAGCATGCTTGTGTTAGATGGTTCCCAGAGAAGCAACTACTGTAATATTATGTTGCCCCATTAAACTGTACATTTTAATACATATGGTATCTCAAATATTATATAACAATAAGAGAAGGCCTGATGTTCAAAAAATTTTGTATTCAGTATACATTATTTGAGTACCTTCATGTGCCACATAAAGAATTAGACACTGTGAATTCAAACAAATGTAGAACAAAGCCTTTGTACAAAACAAAAAGAGTGTGTGTGTGTGTGTGTGCGTACACACACACATACATATGCAGTACAGTACCAAGTGGCTTTTAAATTTTGTTCCCTCAAAGGACATCTCCACTTTGACTAGAAAAGCTCCACATTCATCTATTTTTACACACCAGTCTTTCTTGTAGCTGGGTGGAGAAAGCAAAATATGAATAAGGGCTCTAGATTACTACTAAGAACATAGGTAAATGAAAAGTATCCTAAGTGAAAAAAACAAAAGACTTTTCTTTAGTTTCATTTATCGTCTGTTTTCACATTTGCCAAATATTGGCTTTGTGGGTAAATGTCTACTAAACTAAAGTTTATAAACACGGCCTATTAAGAAGTTTGGAGAAGTCTGTAGGAAATGCTCATTTCACTTTGTCAGTTCACATTATCAAGGAATGCCATGGCAGCTTTCTGATTCACATAAATCATCACAAGTTATGAGACAGGAAATTTTTTAAAATCTAAAGTGTATTAAATGTGTTCTAGATTTATATTAAAACTTCCCTAACACAAAACAACACCATTTACCTTCACACTGTGATTCTTAGAATGAAGTTACCATTTGAGCATCTATAATGACTTGGCCAATTAATATACATTATCTCTAATCACTCACAAAAACCTCAAAAGATAAACTATTTTTAATCCCATTTTGCAGATGAGAAAGCAAGCTCAGAGGTTAGGAAATGTGTTCAAAATTACATAGTGAATACATGGAGAAGCTAGGATTTGGACCCATGCTCTCTTTACCAAACCACTTTCAGAAGCAAAATAAACTTAGCTCACGGAATTTTTCTCTTCTAATTATAGCTAAATATGATGCCTGCTTTTATCACCATCTAATAACTTCACATAAAGTTGTGTTTTGCAATGAAAAATCTTGCTATCAACATATAATCAAACAGGCACCCATAAACAGGAGGAAAGGAAATCTACGATGTAAATCAATGCTAATGAATGACAAATACTTTAGTCATTGTGTAACTACCTTGGTTTGAATGTAAGTAACATCATGTATAAAGCCTGGTTATCCAGTTCAGGAACAAGTAAAAGTTAAGTTCTAGACAGCCCACTCTGGCTCTAATTAAATAGAAAAAAATGAGTACAAAGGAACTAAATTATTTTAAAAAATACTCCTATTGGAACTCAACTTCAAAAAGATATTTCATAAAGAGACAGTACAGCTTGTAAGATTCCTTCTATCTCAAATTACTCTGATGAATGTCTGATAAAACTTGAGATTTACCACGGGGTAACAACAAGAGGTAGCCAATAATTCTAAATGAAAACTCAGAATGGTCTTTTGTTCCCTTTGTTTAAAGTAAAGCTGCTAGTGAAAAACAAGAATGTGGACTTAGGAAAAAGGAGTCTCTTGTCTGAGCAAAAATTAAATTTAAATATCCTGCTTCTTACCTGAATATTTCAAATGATCTATATTTATCTACTATTCACTAAAAGACTATAGAGGGCACTGTTGTATTAGCTTTGAAGCTTTACAATAGAAGCCTAGAAAAACTGTCTATAACGTGTAATTTCCTCAAAGGGTCAAATGCATGGAAATCTACTAAGCCTAATATAAGGGAAAAAACCAAATGTATGTTTTTCTAAAATAGGCTGGACTTCAATGGGGCAAAAAAGTTAACAAAAACAACTGTCAAATTGAGAACACTGCACTGCACACATTTTGCATTTCCCTTTGTAGTGCTTTCATGAGAAAGGTAACTAATCATAGCACCTTCTTATCCAATGGAAACAGCACCTCATTGCAGAATCCTTTGCACAATCAATAGGAAAATGAATGTGGCGCCTCATGCAATCCTTCCATAATTCTATCAGCAGAAAGAATGCAGTCTGTTTGCATACTTTTGTCTAAAAGGCCAATTTCATTTGTCCCCTCTTTAAGTAAAATGACAGCTATAGATCAATCACTCTCACATGAAAGTAAACACACTGCAAAAAAACAAATAAAAATATGGATCGAAATCAGAATCCTCACCTTTTTTAAATGTAATTTTATTACACATAAAAACTCAAACTCAAAGCAAAATAAAGAAATTAAGTTTTTCCTCATTGACATGCATTTTGTGCTATTGTGCAACAGTACTGGCATATAAAATAAGTTACATACAACAATACTCACGAATCTTAGAATTACATATGGATAGCATTCAATTAAGCTTCCATATATTTTCTGTTCTCTCACAGCATTCCTGTTACAATTCTTTGAAACTAAATTCAATTAAGTACAGTGCCAAAGTTTTTTTTAAAACACATTTGCAATGTATTACAATAAGACTAGTATATAAAATATAAAGCTCCTTATGACACTGCCACTTAATTTTTTCCACTTGTTTATTCACCAAAAATCTAAATTTTTAACACTACAAATAATACAAAAGTGAAAAGAAAATTAAATTCTTTTATTTTGGTAATTTAAAAATAATGCCCTGAATTGCTGACCCTCTGTAGAAACACTAACGTTACCTATAAGAATTATAACACCATGACCAGGCAACCAGAGATAATATGAGAAAGGAGGATCCTCCATTAATGCAGATCAAATCACAACACCACATCACATGTTAGATAAATCAACAGCAATACAGGTATCATCATAAAACTACAGCATCTAATAAAGAATCCCAAATTCCCTAGAAAAACAGTATACAAGTCATTTTGTCACTCTCAGACTTCCAGAGAGATTAGCACCTTCTCTGAAATCAAAGTGCAGAACTGTGAAAGTGTTAAAACTTCTTCAATAATACATCAACCTACTTATAAATCAAAAAGAAGGGAAGGGACTTCAGATGGTATGTAGATTTCATTTTATTACAAAAGCCCCAGTTTAACAAGTTATTTTCAGCCAATAAAAGTCAAAAGTAAAGCATTGTTAAAGTGGCCAGCACTGACTGTAAGGCTTTAACTTATTAGCTTAACCAAAATGCTACTTGAGTATTGCTTCCTTAAATTATTAATTTATGAGTTTTGCTCAGTCTCCTCCTGAGGCAAGGCAGTTTGTAGGTATGTTGAACGCATTTAAATAAACAGAAAGCTTTTATAATAGTCTAATAATACACTAAACATAATAAAACAACCCTTTTTACCAACACTGAATGCACAATCCTATGAGCCGAGTTTATATAAATGGACTATATAATTTAAAGAAAGTGTAAGATCCTCTAGCAAGTAAATGCACAAATTCAGAAAAATTAAACACAAGCCTACTGTTTTTCATTGATCTGATAAAATGCTTACAACAGAAAGTGCTGCTGTGACTATGAAAAGTATGTCACATGTAATTTTGAAGAAATCTAAGAGAAAATGTCCTGAACTGTGAGAAAATTTATTTGCAATATTGCTTCTCGTCTACCAGAAGGATGACTACAAAAAAAATCAGGTAATGTCTTTTTAATATTCAGGATATTTAACTAGACATTTTAGTTTACTATTATAGAAAGAAATGTAGCATTAAAACCAATTTTAGTTAACTTTAATTTATGCAAAGCTTGATTGTGAGCAATAGCTGCTAAAAGGATGCAGCACTGTTGATTCATATACAAGCATTTTACTTAACTACATTGGATAATAGCAGTGCTCCTAAAGGAGTATAAAAAGCAAAGTGATTAGCAGTCATTACTGTTAATTAGTGCTCACATTACATTCCTTGGGATGAATCTCCTTTAAGTTGAATACATAGAAAGTTTATTTTTGAAGAACTGCCAAACCTTGCCTAGGTAAGTATTGGAATAAGCCGTCAACTATCAGTAAGCAGAATGAAAAACAGGGACAGATCAGCATCCAATTAGTATGTCTAAGTTTTTAAACAGGAAAAGGGTTGAGGGGAATGAGTAAAACTGGAAACTCATACTTCACATTCTGCAATCTCACTGATAAAAGGAGGAAATGTGTGTTTATCAAACTTGCTGTGAGTGCACAGTCCATTTGGAGCCCTGTAAACAATCGCCTGACTGCCCACTTCCAAACGCATGTGAAAATCTTGGAGATTCAGAGCATCATATTCAGCAAGCAAGGTCACTCTAGTGATGCCCTGGAAATGGGAAATTAGGAAAACGTGGCAATCAGAGGTTTAGGGTTGACCAGAAAAAGCCCTGAGGCTGGCTTACCATCTTTCACCACCAGTCAGGCTGTCTCTGCTTATTCAGTATTAACACAACAGGGCTGCGAGTGAATGAAAAGAACTCCACACACCTAACTGGGACATTGGCTTTCTTGTTTAGAAAATGATAGGCATTTGTCACAGGAAAGAAAAAACCAAAAACTCAAACACAGCTTTCAAGAACCAGCTCTGAAAGAAAAACAGGCTCCTGGTGAACCTTCAGAAAAGGACCTGGGGAATGGCGACATCCTGTTGATTATCAAGTTTCCTTTCCTCCTATCCATTCTGTGCATTTTAAAATGGAGGCCAAATCTTCAACAAAGAAACTTCAAAAGCAATGCATGTTCAGTAGAGGAAAAACATTTAAAAACTCAAATGTACAAAAATTATACACTCTTAATACTTTCCACATACAGACTTAAAATATATCCTTCAGATCTTTTTCTATGCATATATTTGTATAAATATATTTATGAAAATGAAATTATACCATACAGAGTATTTGGTAATCAACTTCCTTCTCTTGACAATATATAGAAAGGTATTTCTGCAACTTCATTTTTGATGCTATACAGTATTCCACTGTATGGATACATCATAATTTAATTTGTGAGCCATTTCTAAACCTTCGAGTACATCTTTATTTCCTTAGAATAAATTCCTCAAAATGGAAGTGCTTGGTAAATAGAGAGGGTATTTTTTGTGTCGGATGAGTTCTACCAAATTACCCTCCGAAAGGCTCAACCCATTTATAGGGCTGCTGGCAGCACATAAGGGTATTCATTTCTCCAAAACCAGTATCATTTCTTAATCCTGCCAAAGCGATAGCTCCATTTTTGACTTAGTGAGGCTGAATATTTTTGGCCATTTGAATTTCTTTTTCTGTGAAATGCCTGTTCATATCCTGAGCCCATTTCTCTATTTGGAGGCCAGCTTTTAAACATTCAAAAATAGCAAGGGATTCCTCATCAAATACTACCTTACAGGATCACCAAAAAGAGATTATTTTAAAGAGGAGATAGTAATTGTGCGCACATTGAAAAGACTCTGTTAGCATTGGTAATTTTGCATGAGACTATGTTACAACATATTACATTATAGGAGACATCCCAACTCACTCAAAAAGAAAAAAAAAAATTAAAAACTGAGGTTGCAAATATTATTTCATTGAAGCTATCTTTGCTTTCCATAAATGGAAAAATCTATGATACCAAGCTGGCATCATCAGCAATGTTTTGTTGTTGTTGTTGTCGTCTTTTTTACTTTTCTGTTATTCCAGTAAACAATTTGAAAACACAAAAAATTTGAATTGCCTTATTAGCTATTTTGACAAGTCAAAGAAGAAGACTGTAACTATGGATGATGGACAAGTTTCTCATGCTACTATCTTGGATCAAAAACTTAATTAAAATGTGTCAGTCTTGAGAAAAGTACTAAGTATTAGAAAGAAAAATGAAAAATGCCCGCTTCCTCCAGAGTCAATTCAATTTAGGGCCTATTCTCATAGAACCAAGAAACTGACAAAGTAAGCCAAATATACTAATTCCTACTCATCTTCAGAAACAGGTTTAGATCAGAATGTAATTTCAAGCTGCAGATCATGTCTTTCCTTTTTCTAACAAACAATAGCTTAAAAACTTGCAAAGCTGTTACCTAGAATAGTGTATCTGAAACTGTGTTAAAGATCACTTTTTTAAATTTCCAAATCTTTGAAGACCGAAACTTCTGTAAAATACAAGTAAAATGAATTACAAAAAAAAAATAATAAAAAAGATAAAATACAGCCAACTTTTTATTATTAGATTCAACATATATAAAATTACTCTCAAATGACTATAAAAGTTTCTAAATGCTTATTTCCAATGTCTATAAAGAGCTGACCTTGGACCAATAACAAACACTTCATAGACTAGCACCAGCCCCCAGACCACACTTTAAGTAGCAATGATCTAAAATTATCTGAGAACTTTAAAATGAGATGAGATCAAACACAGATAGATCACTTTGATCCTTGACTTAATAACCCCACCTCCCGTTATCAAATCACAAGCCTGTGCTCTGTCTCACTGTTAATTCACATATGCCTTATTCATTTATACATGCACTATATATGGTAACATCTACATGAATTAACACAAATGTAATGCTGGGAGGCAGGAGAACGCAGTAATTAAGAATACATGTTCTACCACTTTCTAGTTGTATAACCTTGGACAAGTTACTTAACTTCTCTGTATCTCAGTTTACTTATCTGCAAAATAGGGATAATAAATCAGGGCTGATGTAAGGATAAATCAGAATATAATGTATAGAGCTTATAACAGTGCATGGCAGGTAATGCTACATAAACAACAGCAGTTAAAATTACAAGAAGACAAAAATAATTGAAAAAAACATCACGTCTCTGGGTTTTCTAACAATCAATATAAAGAGGAAACTAAAATAAGTTGCATGATTTACAGTGTTCATACAAAAAAAACTGTCCAATAGTCACAATAAGGCAAACTATTATAAAGACTAAGTCCTGAGAGAAATTTCACCCTTGGATAGTCATAAAATTGAATGTGTGGTACGGTGAAAATCCTCAAAAGCATCCCTAAAGCAAATACATACCAAAAAATTGTGAGCATCTCTTACGGAAAAGCACCATGATGAGTGCTACAGAGTATCCAAAGTTGAAAAACACAAAGTCCCTGCCTTCAAGAAGTTATAAATAACAAGGAAGATATATTATATATGCAAATAATTATGTAAAACAAGGCATAATGTAATAACTACCCCAAAGAGTAAATAAATGCAATAGAAATTCAAAAAAAGAAAGCTACATTCGAGGAACAAAGCCTTTTGCATCCCTATCCTACTCTCATTCAATATAAAATCCAAATGCCCATTAAGAACAAGCCAGAACACATATAAGGTCCAAGCCTGCTGCCTCTTCTCTGGTCCCCATCACTTCTTACCTGAAGTTTTAAGATGCCACTTTGCACTCTATTATCTTTGAGATCTTAATATTTTTCTTGAGAGATGCATGGTATCCTCGTCTGCTCTCAGGTGCTACTGCCATGCTACTCTCCTCTTCACCCTTTGGAAGCCCCAGAAAGCCCCTCTGACCTCACAGCACACAGCACAGTAGGTGTTATAGGCTCAGAGGACAACTGATTCCTGACTTGAGTACTCAGGAATACTCCTAGGCTATAAAGCTTTCTGAAATTGATGGTTAAAACAGTAGTTCTTAAATTTTTGAAAAAAACAAACCACTGTGAGACTATGATAAAAATTTGGACTTCTCCCCAGAAAAATTTACATACAAAAAATTTGCACAAAATTTGTGTTAAAAAACTCCTCTCCCTTCTAGATTAAGAAATCCTAAGCCAGCCCTGATGGCCTAGTGGTTAAAGTTCAGGGCACTCCACTTCTGTGGCCCAGGTTCAGTTCTTGGGCATGGAACCATGCCACTCGTCTATCAGTAGCCATGCTGTGGTGGCAGCTCATGGAAGAACTAGAAGGACTTAAACTAGAATATACAACTATGTACTGGGGCTTTGGGAAGGAAAAACGAAAAAAAGAAAGCCTGTCAAAGTATCACATTATCCTGCACTGAAGTCCACTAGACTGATTCTTATTAAATTTCTGTGATCAATTCCAAGTCCTATGATCACTCAGAATGAGCAGAACTTGGGTGAGGGTTCAGGAAGTCACAAAAATGACTACGAGACCAATAAAAATTATTAAAGGAGCTAATTGTGAAAGGCTAAAAAGGGAAGACTATGGATTATTTATCAAATGATGATTCTCCCTCCCTTTCTCACCTGTCTGCAAAATCACCACATAGAAAAGAATCCACAAGGGAACTGGTCTTAAAATAGATCATCAGCCATTTCAATGTCTCTAGAACTAATCATTTAGTAGGCAGCAAAGAATTCTGCACAGGGAAGAGGAATAAATAGACACAGTTTCCACCTCTTCTGATTTTTATAGAAATCTACAAGGATCAACATTAGATGAATTTTGTCAAGGTTAGACAGGCTTAACTTTGTTCGCTGAGTTTAATTTAACAACTGCTCATTGAGCACCCACTGTGTGCAAGTACACAAAATGACCACATGGCCCAGTACTGTAGATTCTAAGAATAAGTGTGGTACAATTCTGCTGGCTTTGAGAGGTAATTGCTCTTAGATGCAGGAATGCACATAATAGCCCCATTCCACCACCTCTGAACATTCAAAAAGAGCCATGTTTCAAATCTCTTAATTCTTCATATACTATTTCAAAAGTCTAAATTCTCTAAACTCAGTTCACGTAACTTCAACGGAAGTCCTTGCTTGAGGCTTTTTACAAATGAGTTAATGGAAAATACACTGCTTTGATTTTAAAGATAAACATAGAGTTAAATCCCAAAGGAACTTGCCAAAATAATTTTTAATGGAAAGAAAGCATCTTTTAATAAGAACCTTTGTCATCTTTGGGTTCACCTCTTTATCTTCTTTTGAAACAACCCATGCCTCAGTTTAGTCATGTAGGAAACTAGATACAAAACATTAATTCCACATGTCTCTTGGAAGTCTGAATTATCTGACTGAAAGAGTCTGAAAAAGATGAGAGAGAGCCAAAAATTACAGGCAACAAATGCAGAAGGATAAATTCAATCCAATATATAATATAAATTTGCCCCCATTAAAATCTCTTTTACAATTTGAAAGATTATTATTCTTTTTTCTTCTCTGCATTAATGTACTAATAAAGTCAAGAGGAATTACACCCATCTCAATGCCAACTTGCAGCTACTACTTAATATTAATATACTAATGGAACTTTGTATTCAGTGAAAAGAACTGCCTTTATTTAGCTTTACTGGATTATTCTGGAAGTTAAGAAATAAAGGAAAAACAAGACTTAAGACTGACATGAAGATGGTAGGCTAAGAAAAAAAA